ACTTGGTTGACGTTCTTGTAATGCTGCGACAATTTGACCAACCTGACCCTACAAAGCCCTTAGAGATAAGTTGTGGCTTTGAAGCAAAGCTATTTGATTGTGTAATAAGGCTCCTTGATTTTTTATGGAGGTAGCATGGTCTTCGTGGTTGCTATAAAATATTGGATTGTGGCCTCCAAAGAACTTGTGTTGGATGAAGATGATACTCCCTTGTTAGAATTATATCATGGCATATTCGTTTGAAAACCTTGGGAGTCATTAAAATTCTGTTGCCTAACCGGTTGATTAGTATTGCTGGTTCCTTGATTTTCCCACGAGAAGTTTGAATGTTGACGCCATCCAGGATTATAGGTGTTAGAATAGGGATTGTTGTTGCCTCGATTGTAGTTTCCTACATAGTTGGTGGATTCCTGATTGGTTGGGCATTCGCTCTCATGGTGATTGTCATGGCATAATAAACATGCTGAGTTGGTTGCCTTCACTTCTTTCACCTTACTTGGTGGTTACAAATTCTTCAACATATTGGTGATAGCAGCAAATTGAGTGGACACGAAATCCTTAGTATCCAACTCGAACGCCCCATGCGCTTTTCGCCCAGTTCCAAGCCTTGTAGATGGGAATTGATAATCATTGTTGGCAATCCTATCCAGAATGTCAAATGCCTCTGCATGTGATTTATCGAGCAATGTCCCATTTGCCGAGGCATCCAGCATCATCCTCATGGGCACATTTACTCCATTATATAACATTACCGCTTGAGCCCAATCTTGAAAACCATGATTAAAGCATTTGCGAAGTAATCCTTTATATCGATCCCATCATTCATACATTGATTCGTCATCAGCTTGACGAAAAGAAGCAATGTCGTTCCTCAGTTGGGTGTTCATGTTCGGCGAATTATACCGCAGTAAAAAACTTTTGCACATATCAGTCCAAGACTCCATCGAACCAGGTGGAACACCACTCAACCAAGCCCTCGCTCGGTCACACAGAGAATACAAAAATAACTTTAACTTCAGTACATCCTCGTGCACTTCTTGTTGTCGAAAAGAATCACACACCTCCAAGATGTTACGGATGTGTTGCCTGACATTTTCATGAGGTATGCCCCCAAACTGTCCTATGGAATTCAACATATTAAACATGACTAGTTTAAGCTCAAAATGGGTTGCCTGAATTTCGGGTGCCACAATTCCTAGATTTGAGCCGTCCAATATAGGATTTAAGTGATCTCGAATGACACAAGGCCTGGCTGCATTCCCAACATTCGGAATTGCCTCGACATTCTGATATTCCTGTTGACCAATACCTTGATTGACAATTTGATACATGTTTGCACGTTGAACACGTCCTCTGTGCCTAAAAAGCCTCTCAATCTTATGTTCAATTGGTTCTAATGGTTCGCCAGAGTGTTTTTTGGTCATACACCAAGAAAAACCTGGAAAAAAAAAGAAAATAACAAGTAAAACTATATAAAAAATGAAGAAGTAAAATAAAAATGCTATGAAAAAACTAATTAACTTTCAATTGCCAATCCCCGACAATAACGCCAAAAACTTGTCCATGTTTTGTGAGTACTAAATATGGACGTGAAATATGTGCAAGTATACACAATCGAACAAGTAATATAATGATGAGTGAGTATCGCATCCACAGGGACTGGAGGAAATTTATAAGTTCAATCAAAGCAAATAACTACTTTATCTAAGTATAGTTAGTGCTATCATATTTACTAATGAGAATGCTTAGTCAAAATGAAATGTATGTTGGTGGGGATGGAATGATAGTGTGATGTGTGAGCAAATGAAAATGTTGTGACAAAATAGATTATGTGTAGTGTAATCAAATGAGAATGTAAAGGCAAAACAAAATGTATACACTGGATTTGACTAGAATGCCTTGACAATCCTCACACAACAAGTTACCACGGGAATGAATGATATGAGTCACTTAGGAAACTTAAGTCTATCTTTTCAGGATAGTATTTCTTCTATGTCTTACTTGCCTGACAAAGTTTACTAAAATGTCCTATGCTATCTCTAGTCAAGGGACTCAACAGGTTGAGAATGCCATGACAATACCACTCTGCGTTAGCAGGTGCAGGGATCCTATTGGTTCAGATCAACAGAATATGTCACGACGATACCACTCAGTGTCAGCACTAACATCTAACCTCTCGACCGAGCACTACTCCTTTTATTCGATTGAAATTTTAGCCTTATGTCTAAGGGTGGATTAGGTCTAGTTACTATCTAAAATCCATTGCTTATGTTAATCCTCCTTAGTTTCTCTCGAACACTAAAGATGAGTTACTTAGTTTCTCTCGAACACTAAGTAGTCTCCTAAGGAATGACTACTCTCATAGCTCCTACAACCTTAAGTCATTAAGCACCATAAGCAAAACAAATAAAAACATAAAGAAAAACAACCATCCATTAAAGAAAAACTTAAGCATCCACAGTGAACTCCCACCAAATAAAGCTAGTTCATGTTGAGGTTCGAATAGTCCATGAAACAAATCATAAAATTCATTCATTCCATACAACCCAAATATGATAAGTGATAAAAAACAACAAAGTGATGGAAGAAAAACCTTCGACGCGTGCTGTCGAAGCTCCCTTCGGCCACCATGAACCGCTTTAGCTCGCTAGCTCCTCTCGGACGCCTAGCTCGCCATTCCCTCGAACTTGTTAATGGAGGAACACCACGTAAAGATGAAGAGAATGATAAAGGTAGAACTTTTCTTCCAGCTGCCTCTCCTCTCAAAAGTTCCAACACAAAATGTTTCAAAATCAAGTCTCCCAAAAATATTAACCTTATATCATATTTATAGTGGGGAATAAACCTAGAGATTTGTGTCAAAATTCTCATAGTACCCTAAGGTTCATTCCCTTCACATGAGGATTGATACACAGGTGGTAGTAGTCCCCTCCTAAGTGGCTGCAACATAGAGCATGTGTAGAAAAGGACAATTGGTACTTATAAAATATCTTTTTTTGTCTTTCTACCCAGAAATGTCGTCTGAGTTGTCGTTGCATTCACATTCTACTCAGCATATTCAATTTTTCATGGCAATTCTCCTCGCGCATCCTTGCTTACAAATCCTGCACATCATCAAACAAAACACCTTTCCCATAACGCAACACCAATTTCAAAATAAAATTCCACGGTAAAATATATCCACCACATACAACTATATGCTCCTAAATGCATTTATATGATCCTATATGGACTTTTAGATAACCAATAACTTAAGTGAAAAGGCCCTAAATATAGCCTTTTTATGGAGTTATCAGCTACGAAACCCATCTTGTCCAGAAAAGCATGGATGGAGATATCCTGGGATTGGGGAATTCCAGGTAATTGTTATTACAATTCAACCATCAACTTGTGCTTATTCTCACATTATTTGATTGCCTGCTTATATAGCTTATTGTGCTTGGAAAATTTGACAGAAATTTTGCTTGTAACATCAGATTCACTAGTTCAAATTTTCTAACCTAAATGTGATTATTGATTTTAAATCTCTGTTATATAGTTTAATATATTACTTTGCTGCTCTATATATGTTTCACCGTCCTAGATGCTTCAATCGCATACATTTTTTAATTTTCATGCACCTGGAAACTTAGCCTACATCTTTGCTCCCTCCCTCTCTTGTTCTTTCACCCTGTTTATGTCTACTGTCTAGAAGTAATAAGAAATGGTGACTAATCATGATTTCTAGGAACCTTTTAGAAGGTATGCTCAGTGTTCAAATCTAACCCACTGTTAAAAGGCTGTTTCCTTGGAGTTGATTCTTTTGAACTTTAGTGCAAGTAAGCTTATCATGATTTTTAGTATTGCTCCATTGCTAGCCTAGCAAGTTTTGGTTCTCTTTGTTTTTGCTCATATTGTGTTCCTTGTACAGTATGTTTCCTTGTTTGTGTTCGTCACCCAAGCATTGCCAAAAACTTTAGTTTTGGTTCTCCTCTGGGCATCATATAGCTATTTGATTTTCTAGTGTTATGATCGGTATATGTTAAAAAGCCTGAGGAAGGAAGCAGAAATGAGGGGACACAACTATTGGGCTAGAGGGCCAGATAATGCCGGATCATACAATTCCCACTGGCATGAAACTGGTTTCTTTTGCGACGGAGGAGACTATGATGGTTTCTATGGGAGGTTTTTCCTTAATTGGTACTCTCAGGTATTAGTCAATCATGGAGACCTGGCACTCTCATTGGCAAAGTCAGCTTTTGAAGGCACTTGCATTGCTGTAAAGGTGAGTCAGCTTGCAATGATATGTCTTAGGGCCCTACTGAATATTTTCTTCTTACCCTCTAAAATTGATTTTATGATTCATTGTTTGGATTCATAGCAATCTCCTTTTTTCTTCAACACCCCCCTGGTGCTTCTTCAAAAGTGTTGTCCTTTTCAATCCTCAAACCCATCAAGCCCGGTGAACTTAGAAGTACTCTAAGATTCAATTCTTGTTTCATGTCTTAATATTACACAGTTCGATTCTTATATCAAGCATTTGGTTGTGTAATCAAATTCAACGAGGGGAAGTTGTTGTATAACATGCTTTCACGTTTTCCATTTTTACTGCCTTTTGAAATGCTATGTATCCATTTTGACACGATCATTTTAATCTGCTAATGAAGAGTAATTCCCCCTTCCTCTTCTCTTTCTCTTTCCATTTCCTGTGCATTTCCCCCCTTGATTTATTTTAGAATTTTCCTCCTGCTGTGAAGTTCAGTTGAATGCAAATTTTATTACCTTTTGAAAATTAAAATTAAAAGTTGCTTCAAGGTATGTAGTATTGTTTTCTTTCGATGTTTTAATTGCTGTGCGGCTGCCAGGTATTCACTGGTTGTACTAAACATCGAGTCATGCTGCCGAATTAACGGCTGGATTCTACAATCTCTGTAATCGAGATGGCTATGTTGCAATAGCTGAAATGCTACATAAGAATGGATCTGCTTTAAACTTTGCATGTGCTGAACTGCAGCTTGAAGAGTTGCAGGAAGCACTGGCAGATCCTCATGGTTTAGCCTGGCAGGTGAGGTTTTTAGAGCTCCTAGCAAACCTTATTATTTACTTGTTCTCACGTTTTTTACCTCTCTTCTGGAGGAACACTTTTTCTTTGAAAAGTATTACTATAAATCCGGTTGTGATATTCTTTATTCAAATCCAGAAAGCTTAGTAATTGTCTGTTTTAGGTGCTGAATGCAGCATGGGATGCATGCATTGTGGTTGCAAGCGAGAATGCTTTTCATTGCCATGTAGAGTAGGCTATAACAAGATACTAGACACTGTGAAGCCGGTAAATGATCCAGAAGGGAAACATTTCTCATCCTTTACTTACCTTAGGCTCCCCACTTCTCATGGAGAGAGACAATTTCGCAGAATTCGAACGGTTCGTTCAGCGAATGCACGGTGAGTTGCTAAATCCATTTTCACTTCTGAACAAACTTCAGTTTCATAGTCTCTGAGGTAATTTATCATACTAAGTAAAAGATAAGATTGAGCAAGACGATGGCATGGGGGAAACTGATTGACTCTTTTTGCTGCAGGGGAAGCTGTTCTAGATCTCCATGTATAATAGCAGCAACGAGTTTGGAAAGCTCTTAAATACTATCATGTATCATTTCATTTTCCCCTCCCGCAACAAATGTTACCTGTAATTGGAGGAATAGTGTTCTTATTTTAATTTAGTCAACAAACACATGTAAATGATACTAAGGATTTCAATGGTGAAATATAGTATATAAACATTGCTAATATATCATAAGCCCCCCTCACTTCTGCAATCATAATATTCCCAGACAAGGTAACCAATGGATATTTTACATTAAAACTGGTTGACATTGCAAATCAACATCACATTGGTTGAATGATATTGATGTTATGCTCCAATACTGCACATTTTGACGGCTATGCTCCAATTGCAGCAACGTTGAAGAAACACGAGGTTGCAATAAACTTCACACGTGTCGAATTGCAACATCAAATTGGTTTTTAGGGTAATTATCAGTGTCTTGGTTATTTATTTGCAACATTTTCTAATATTTTTTTTGTAAAGCTATTTTTATTAAGGGTGAACAAAACTTGACATTAAAAATTTTGATTCGATTAAAAAAATTAAATTTATGTTGAACAATAAAATAAGACTTGAATAACTCAATTTTTTTTTTAGTAATTAGTAGATTGATTTTCAAATTCGAGTCAAATCTTACAACTCTACAAGATATATGTATATCACATATGGAAAAAACATATATGCATATCTTATATAGTTATAAAAAACAATTTAAATTTGAACCAATTAGTACTATAACATTATAAATATTTACAATTAAATTTAAACAAAAACTCAAATAACTTAACTCAAAATTTATAAATTCAACTTAAAAAATTCCAAATAAAATTTAAATTATAAAATAAAATTCATCAACTCAATTAACCTAAAATTTTTTAAGTCGACTCGATTGAATATTCTCTCTAATTTTTGTAACTCGTCTTTAGCACCAATCACAGGCAACTGACCCAAATCTTGTGTCCGATTGGGTCTCTGAGCCATTAAGAAAAACCCATGGCACGTTTCACACGTGTCTCCTCACAAGTATATCGATCTCGCTCAGCGTTAATACGCTATCTCACACACGCCCCATTCGTGCCAAGACCTGAATTTCACACACATACACGCTTTTCAACCCCCGCACACGCGTGAAACCTTATCCGTCACGCGCTCGCCTCTTCCCTATTCACGCGCCCCCGTACCCTAGCCAGAAATAGCCCTGTCCTCCGCCCCTACTCCTAGCTTCTTCAATTTAGCATTTACGGGGAACAGTCGTCTTAACCAAGCTGGAGTCGGCCCCGACTACCGGGAATATTGATCTATTCGTATAAATCAGTCCGTTGGAGACTAGAAAGTGGAATTCGGATAGACGACGAAGGACTGGGGATATTCCGGAGCTTCATTTCTGAAAAATTGAAGATTTGCGTGAGAGTTACTGGAAAAACTGAGACACTGATTTTAAGGTAATGTTCGTGGGAGAAAACTTTCAAGCTGGCCTTGGCCATGTTTGTTTTTAGTTGATAGGTTCTCTAATTCTTTTTGGAAACTTGTTTTTTGAAGTTCTAGAGTAAATCCTTCCTAAGTCTGCCTAGGATTAATGGTTAATTTACCTCGGAGAATTCTGTAAAGTACTTAATTCCCTTCATGTGATTGCTGAGAAACTGCTTTATAAGTGAAAGAAGATAAAACAAAGAAAAATTGACTCTTATTTTTTTTTTTTACAGTCTTATATTTTCATGAAGGAAAAATTAAAATCCAAATGAGACAAACAGTTCCTTGACAACTTTACTGGGATATTTGATATTTCTGAGGCCTAAGAAGCTTAATAGGTACCTTATAATAATTGTTGTTATTATTTTGGTCATTGTATAAAGGAAACATGTAGAATTGCAAGTTTGAACTACGTTTAATTGGCGAGTTCTTTTGCCTTCTTTGAAATGATATGAATTGAGTTTTTATTTAACAGGAAGATGGGACAGAAATCAGCAGATCTGGTTGTTGCATTGTAAGAGAAATCTATGCAGAGAAGTTATAATCCCGAGGTATTTTGGAGTTAAGGGACCTGGATTAGAATGGAAAATTATGGCCACTGATTTGCAGAATCTGATAGGAGCTAATGAGGATGATGATGAGGAGGAAATTGACATGGATGTAAAAGGAGAGGACAATGAGGATCAGGTGAATGGAGAGAAGCATATTGCTGCACAGATGATGTTGGGAGCTGATGGAGTGACGACGAGTACCAGCGGCCAGTTCCAAACCCAGCAGCAACTTCAAGAGCAAGTCAGCACCCCAGGTGGAGGAGCTCGGAGATCAAGACCACTAGAAGAAAAGGAGCGAACAAAGCTAAGAGAGCGGCATCGAAGAGCAATAACAGCAAGGATCTTGGCAGGGTTGCGGAGGCATGGGAACTATAACCTGAGGGTTAGAGCTGATATAAATGATGTGATTGCAGCTTTGGCCAGGGAAGCTGGCTGGGTTGTTCTTCCTGATGGAACCACTTTTCCATCCAGATCTCAGGTGCTTTTGAATGCATGGATTTTATCTCTTAGATTGAGCACATAGTTCATTCAATATGTACAACATTGAGATGTTATTAATTCAATAGGTTCATAAATTGTTCAATTGCTAAACATTAATCTTGGATTATGTATGCATATTAATTGTTTCCCTACACAATATTGATAGTGCATTAGACATTGAACTTCTACTCCCTTTAATATTTCTTTGATCTTTTTATTCTGATGAATATATGGAAAATCCAACTGGGAGTATTCTCTCTTTGCAGGGTTCAAGGCCTGCTGGTGGCACTTCTGCAGGCATGACTTCATCCCCCTCTCAGATTCCATCACAACAAGCTCCACCTACCTCCTTGCAGGGAGTCTCCTCTGGATATTGCACCTCAGTAGAATACAATGCTTGTCATATGAAGGGTGTTTTCTTGCCTACTCCTCCACCTTATGATCTATCCTCAAGTGCCCATTCTCAAAGTTCAGACATGGCTGGAAATGGAGGAGAACGTTCGGAAAGTCTTCCTCTTATTGCTGGCTCCATGGAAGCGATAAATGACAAACAGGTATGTCAGTGTTATATGAGGTCACATGCGTGCAATGACCTGTGCCTTTCATGCTGCTGATTTACATCTACCAAAGGATGTTTGGAAATTGGATCCACCATGCCTTGCTAGCACTTGAGTCTCAAAAAAATATAATTGATCCATATTTATATTGAAATGATAGTTCCCCCGTCCAAAATAATAATAGTAATAATAAATTAAATGATATGGTGTGTTAATTTTTTATAATTTTATTTGCTCATTTTCTCTTCTAATCTACAATCTTTACAGCTTATTGGGCTTCCTCCTAAGCTACCAGAACGTGATTTTGCTGGCACTCCATATGTTCCAGTTTGTGTAATGCTACCGGTGAGTTTTTTAATTCGAGTTTCTTTCTCTATATTTACATTGGCTCATAATTACTCTTCAACACTTCATAGCCTTTTTGTCAAACGAGGAAGTGTAATTCTTTTTCTGTTTCCCGCTACAGAGTTTCTTTCTGATGCTGAAATGTTTCTCAAAACCAACTAAATGCCAAATTTCTCACTTTTCTTTCAAGATGCTTTCTTAGTTTCAGTCAAATAATTTACTTCAACTGTCGCAGTTGGGGGTCATCAACATGAAGTGTGAGCTAGTTGATCCAGACAGTCTACTAAAGCAGCTGAGAGTATTGAAATCAATCAATGTAGATGGAGTCATGACTGACTGCTGGTGGGGAATAGTGGAAGCTCATGCTCCTCAAGAATATAACTGGAATGGTTACCGAAGGCTCTTTCAGATGGTTCATGAGCTTAAGCTTAAGTTGCAGGTGAGTTTTTAATTGGGAATTTGTATATGGTCGAATGGTTTCTCATTGCCTGAGGTGAGTTTTTAATTGGGAATTTGTAATATGTTCTATCTTTGATTTCATTCCATGTATTTACTTTAGTTATTTGTTAATACGAGCATAAGATTAGATAGTCTCCCTTGTTTAGGCTGATCTTATCCCCCAACGGTGCTGCAGTTCAATACGCTGAAAGTTAGTCAAAAGCCTCTTTACTTACCTTCTTATCTTGCAAAATTTGTCTAGATGTCAGCTTTTTCTGATTTATGTGCATGATGAGTATTTGATATACTTTTTGAATCCCTATGTGTGTCAAGATGCCCATGTGCTGCATGGCAGAGTAATATGCCTTTGGTGAAGGCTGTTGTCATGCAATTTGTGAAAAAGTACACCAATGTAATTGATGTTCATATTATGCAGTGGTATGCCTTTGGAGGGTAGGTTACATTTAGGTTTATTTCATCCTATGTTGGAAGGAAGTTCAAAATTTCGACTTGCTTACTATTAACAGAATAAAACAATCCAAACACCTAAAACTTTATTCATATTAATAGCCCTAACAATTTAGGACTGGCATACTTATGGTTAAGGTGTCTGAGATAAGTGATTTGTCATTTGTAGATCGTAGAGTTTCTTTTCTCTTCTTAATGATGCTTGGCTTCAGATATGGGATAGGTATGATGCACCATTATATTTGATCTGTTCCAAGTGTAACAGTTATCTTATTGATGGATCAGGTTGTGATGTCGTTTCATGAATGTGGTGGCAATGTTGGTGATGATGTTTGTATTCCACTGCCCCATTGGGTTGCAGAAATTGGTAGAAGCAATCCTGACATATTTTTCACAGATAGAGAAGGAAGAAGAAACACCGAATGCCTCTCATGGGGTATTGATAAGGAACGAGTTTTAAGGGGCCGAACTGCTGTTGAGGTATTAGTCTTTGATATAGCTTTCAATACCATCGTGTAAGTTCCTCTGTTGTAAATCACCAAATTCATTTGAGACCAACAGAAGGTAGTTCTATTAATATGTTCTGACTATATAATTGGTAATGGATCTGGGTTTTATCTTATGTTAAAATCAGCAGGGCTACAAAACAAAGTGATTTCAATTTGCTATTTTCTGAAATTTACTTTTGAGGGATACTGTAAACTGATATGTTATGCTAACTTGGTTTGCTCTTTCTTCCCTTCACTGGCATGCTAGTATTCCTTAAACGATGGATTTTTTATGTGTAAGTTTTTGTTGGGAAACATAGGTATATTTCGATTTCATGAGAAGTTTCCGAGTGGAATTTGATGAATTTTTTGAGGATGGTATCATATCCATGGTTGAAGTTGGACTAGGTCCCTGTGGGGAGCTACGATACCCATCTTGTCCAGTAAAGCATGGATGGAGATATCCTGGGATCGGGGAGTTCCAGGTAATTGTTATTACAACTTGACTATCAACTCGTGCATTGTTTAAAGCTACCATATTCTCACATTATTTGATTTGCTGCTTATTTAGCTTCTTGAGCTTGGAAAAACTGACGGAAATTTTGCTTGTACATCAGATTCACTAGTTCAATTTTCTAACCTAAATGTGATGACTGATTTTAAATCTCTGTTATATAGTTTAATATATTACTTTGCTGCTTTATATATGTTTTGCCAGCCCTAGATGCTTCATTGCATACATTTTTTTAATTTTCATGCACCTGGAAACTTAGCCTACATCTTTGCTCCCTCTCTTGTTCTCTCACCCCGTTCATGTATACTGTCTAGAAGTAATAAAAAATGGTGACTAATCATGTTTTCTAGGAACCTTTTAGAAGGTATGCTCAGTGTTCGAATCTAACCCACTTGTGGTAAAAGGTGGTTTCCTTGCATGTGATTCTATTGAACTTTAGTGCAAGTAATCTCATCGTGATTTTAGTATTGCTCCATTGCTAGCCTAGCAAGTTTTGGTTCTCTTTTTTTTTGCTCACATTGTGTTCCTTGTACAGCATGTTTCCTTGTTTGTGTTCTTGTCACCTAAACATTGCCAAAACCTTTAGTTTCTTGTTCTCCTCTGGGCATCATATAGCTATTTGCTTTTCCAGTGTTATGATCAGTATATGTTAAAAAGCCTGAGGAAGGCAGCAGAAATGAGGGGACACAACTATTGGGCTAGAGGGCCAGATAATGCCGGATCATATATTTCCCACCCGCATGAAACTGGTTTCTTTTGTGACGGAGGAGACTATGATGGTTACTATGGGAGGTTTTTCCTTAATTGGTACTCTCAGGTATTAGTCAATCATGGAGACCTGGTACTCTCATTGGCAAAGTCGGCTTTTGAAGGCACTTGCATTGCTGTAAAGGTGAGTCAGCTTGCAATGATATGTCTTACGCCCGACTGAATATTTTCTTCTTACCCTCTAAAATTGATTTTATGATTCATTGTTTGGATTCATAGCAATCTCCTTTTTCTTGAACACCCCCCTGGTGCTTCTTCAAAAGTGTTGTCCTTTTCAATCCTCAAACCCCATCAAGCCCGGTGAACTTAGAAGTACTCTAAGATTGAAGTCTTGTTTCATGTCTTAATATTACACAGTTCGATTCTTATATCAAGCATTTGGTTGTGTAATGAAATTCAATGAGGGGAAGTTGTTGTATAACATGCTTTCACGTTTTCCATTTTTACTGCCTTGTGAAATGCTATGTATCCATTTTGACACGATCATTTTAATCTGCTAATGAAGAGTAATTCCCCCTTCCTCTTCTCTTTCTCTTTCCATTTCCTGTGCATTTCCCCCTTGATTTATTTTAGAATTTTCCTCCTGCCGTGAAGTTCAGTTGAATGCAAATTTTATTACCTTTTGAAAATTAAAATTAAAAGTTGCTTCAAGGTATGTAGTATTGTTTTCTTTCCATGTTTTAATTGCCGTGCAGCTGCCAGGTATTCACTGGTTGTACAAAACATCGAGTCATGCTGCCGAATTAACGGCTGGATTCTACAATCCCTGTAATCGAGATGGCTATGTTGCAATAGCTGAAATGCTACATAAGCATGGAGCTGCTTTAAACTTTGCATGTGCTGAACTGCAGCGTGAAGAGTTGCAGGAAGCACTGGCAGATCCTCATGGTTTAGCCTGGCAGGTGAGGTTTTTAGAGCTCCTAGCAAACCTTATTATTTACTTGCTCTCACGTTTTTTACCTCTCTTCTGGAGGAACACTTTTTTCTTTGAAAAATATTACTATAAATCCGATTGTGATATTCTTTATACAAATCCAGAAAGCTTAGTAATTGTCCGTTTTAGGTGCTGAATGCAGCATGGGATTCATGCATTGTGGTTGCAAGCGAGAATGCTTTTCATTGCCATGATAGAGTAGGCTACAACAAGATACTACACACTGTGAAGCCGGTAAATGATCCAGAAGGGAGACATTTCTCGTCCTTTACTTACCTTAGGCTCACCCCACTTCTCATGGAGAGAGACAATTTCGCAGAATTTGAACGGTTCGTGAAGCGAATGCATGGTGAGTTTCTAAATCTATTTTCACTTCTGAACAAACTTCAGTTTCATAGTCTCTGAGGTAATTTATCATACAAAGTAAAAGATAAGATTGAGCAACACGATGGAATGGGGGAAACTGACCGACTCTTGTTGCTGCAGGGGAAGCAGTTCTAGATCTCCAGGTATAATAGCAGCAACGAGTTTGGAAAGCTCTTAAATGTTATCATGTATCATTTCATTTTCCCCTCCCGCAACAAATGTTGACTGTAATTGGAGAAATAGTGTTCTTATTTTTAGTTTATTTAACAAACACATGTAAATGATACCATGGACTACAATGGTGAATTATTTTCGACCCATCCGCTCTAGTAACTAGGAATGACAGTGGGTTTCATATATATGCAGTTTTTGAAGTTCGTGATTTTTGTAAACCTGTTTAAAAATCTGGATTTGTTTTTGATCTATAAATTATCTGAGTATATTTATATCTCTCCTAATTAAATATCAGAATTAATTGTACTAATGTCTCTAAATTATGGCCTTGATTTTATATTAACCCTTCTCTAAAATATTAGTTTTTGTTAATTAAGTCCTTTTATTATTAAAACTGCTAGTTTGACCTTTACATCATATGATGCGTATTATATAATTTAATGATAAAAAAATAATATCGGAATTTAATACTAAAATTTAAATATTTTACTGTTCAAATCGATACACAGACACTGACAAATGTGATCGTTTACCCAACTATAAATAAACATAAAACGCTGAAACCCTAGTATTTTTACTCCACTGCGCAGCGGAGAGGTGAGACCGCCTTTGTAAACCCAATTGAAACTTTAAAATCTTTTCGCACCTTCGGAAGCTTATTTCTGTTAATCTCTTTCTTGCAGCGTCGGAGTTTTGTAGGAGATTTTCAGTTGGAGATGTTTGGTAGGTGAGAAAACACGTTGAAACTGTTATGGTAAGGATTGATTTTAATTTTTTGATTTTCTCTAACCATAATATATATATATATATATATATATATATATATATCTTTGTATTCTTTAAATAATATAATGTTATTTAATATATCAAATATAATCTAAAATTATAAAATATATTTATAATATTATATTTTAAAAAAGATATTTTGAAGTTAAAATATTAACGAGAGTATAAAAAAATTAATGAGAATAAAAAATTTACAAACAATTGTAATCAAAATATCAAATTTAATAAAATACAAAGCTAAGGGATTAAATAAAAAAAGAGTATATTTGTAAAAAATAATAAGAATTAAAGTTATATAGGCATTCTATAGTGGTACAAGACTATATGATCCAAATTTGGCAAAAATTCTAGACTTAAAATGAATGATGAATTGAAGAAAAAAGAAATCATGAAAAGTCGAAGGATTAAATTGAAAATTAAAAATTGTTATAAAAAAAGGAATTGAAAGCACATAGGTATTCTACAATGGTTTAGGAGCATGTGGTTCAAATTTAATAAAAGAAAAAAATAGACTTAAAATGAATGAATAAGGAAATCAGGGATTAAATCATAAAATTGTCAAAATAGTCGATGAATTTTTTTATTTTTCTTATGGTAGGGGATATTAATAGTAAGTGCCTTATCTGTGAGCATTATTGCAGTAAATGGATCCATCATACTTTCTTGGTTTTTAGAAATTCCCTACTGTTGATTTGTTCACAGTAACTAAATTTTTGCACGACACTATAATCCCACATTTTCAATCTTCATAACTCTTAACAGTTTGAAAATGTACAAGCTAGTAAATTTCATTCTCCATTCTCTATCTTCTTGTCATTTGGAAGGATATCCTAGTGTCACAGGGCTAGGGTTGAAACTAGCAAACCGTGCGGCCTTAGACTCGAAAATATGAATTGTGTGCCTAAGTCAGCCTTCAATTCGAATGAATAATGCCTAGAACGCACTTAGTCGGCTTAAAAGGGTATAACGGATTGAGTGGGCAAAAACAGAATAAGAAAAGGCTTAAGATGAGAAGATGTCAAGAGAGATTTGAGCCGAATGCTCGTGTTTATCTTATTTGTTATTTAAATCCGTCATGACAATTGAGGTTGAGAGAGCCTCTATTTATACTAGAATCCCCTTACAACTGACGGTGCCTTAGACATAAACTCCATTTACTCCGTCGACTAGGATTAAAAACAAAGTCCTAATACAACTTGGAAATCAGATTCTATCTTTTATTCTTGAATCTTAATCCCACTAGGTTTCTATTTACTTGATGAATTGGGTATCTCGAATTTGGGTCTTTTGGATGGCAGCAGGCACGTTTCGATTCTAGAAGGCTTTTAGGTTTTGATGTGTTGCTCGAAACTCCTCGGGCGCCTATGTTTGCATGGGTCTTGGACCTTGTTTTGTAGCCCGTGACACTAGCCTCCTGTACTTTTTAAATTGAAGTTAGATGCCATGACTCATGACCTGAGAGACGCAAATATTAGGTGCCATGTGCAAGTAGATAGAAAAAATATATATTTAACGCATTAACCTCTTTCATTTCTTAAAATGAAAAAAACATGCAATAAGCTGGATAAGCAATTTAGTTTCACTTTTAGGCTCCAAAAGATTATCAATTCAACCCTGTTGCTTACGATTTTTTCTTCGAAATTATGGTGGGGTGAAAAACATAGTAATGTTTTTGAACATCCTTCGTATCAAGAAAAACTAGTACCATGAATAAATCATAGCTTTTACATTGTTTTTACTTATTGAACTTTATCTATTAAATCACTGATTCATCTTGAGATTTTTCGCAATAGAAAATATTTATAGCTTTACTTACATTTTTACAGTACCTATAACATATCAAGTTAATCGTCTACGCGATGGTAGAAACTTTGCTACCAGTAGGTAGATGCAATACAAAAGGGAAACATCATATTCACATTATTAGCCTCCTTTCAGGTATGAAGTATCTTCTTCATTTTATATTCAAAGGCTCCCATCTGCTTTCCTAATTCTTCAATTTTTGACTCAATTAGTTTTTCATATGAGCTTGAAAGTTAAACAAATATTAAAAGGTAGGCATAACTGTTATATTATTGTATCTGTGAAGAACTATCATGGTCTGCTTCTTCATCTTCATGGAAGTCACTTTCTGTTATACTATATGTAGATTGGTATCAATGGGAAAAAATGGTACGAGTGATGGTTTTAAATAATGCTTAAGTAGACAAGCTCAACAATTCTTATTCTGTTCTTTCATGAAGGTGCCAATATTGCTTATTCTGTTCTTTTACCAAAGCATTAGAACACGAGTTGAGTTTTCCCTTTTTAACTTGTTAATAATCCAATTATTTTATCTATAAAAAATATGTGAAGAAGATATTACATTTTTAGGTGCAGAGGTACATGTTAGCTAATGATGAAATGTACTACAATATTTTATCCAGCAGCCTTTTTCTCCGTTTATTATACCTTTTTATAATGGTTGGTTGGTGTGCAATAGTATCTGGGTCTCGTTCTAGTAAACTTCCTGATCTGTTGTAATATATACTCACATGATAACTGCTGAATGAGTGGTAGTAGCATCTCAGATTACTTGTACTTTTGCATGTGTTGATCTTACAGAAAGAAGAAGAAGGGTTTGATCATCAAGAAGCAATGATGCCATGTGTGCCAGCTCCAGATGGGGTAACTAGCATATGCTTAAGTCTTTAACATTTCCAGTTATTTGGTGTGGTGAATAATTGGATATCAGCACTCACACCGATACTGTATTTTATTTACATTGTAATTTTACATTGTTCAAAACTTTAATATGATTTGAATACATTTGTTTCTTAACTCGTTTTAATCTACACTTTTACTTGGTTACTTCTTTGTTTTGTTGTAAACTTGACATCCCCCCCCCCCAACCCACCAAAAAAAAAAACTGGGTGAAAAAAAGGCAAAAACCGTATCTGATGGCCTTATATTTATGTCTTTGGATAGTGTGCTTTTTTTTTTAGTTTTGCCGTGTTATGTGCAATGCCTCACAATCTTCTGTTTCAGGAGTTACCGGAAAAAGGTGGCCACAACAAAATTTGTTCCTTGGCCGGTAGAGATAAGGTTTTGTGAACCTAACACTAAAACAAACCAGAATAAATCTGAGCCAAGGTTAGGCCTTTTTTTTGGTGTTTCATAATCTTAGCTTTTCCAATTCACTTGGAGTATATTTGTATGCATTAACCAATTTAGCTGCCACATTATCATTTTTCAGTTCAGTGCTATATCTTATTTGAGAATAATTTTTTGCTTTACAGTTTGAGGTATTGGTTTAGAGCCAAAGGAAAACTTTCAGATGACCAAGCTTTGCATAGGTCAGTGATCCCTTTAAATGCTAAATACTTCTTTTTTTGTCCATATATATACCTTTCTACTTTTGCTCTGCTCAAGACTTGGCAAAATTCTCGGAACCTTTTCTACATATAATGTAAGCTTACTTGAGGTTGTTTTGTCTGTGGCCATGTGGACACACGCTTGCACTCTACTTCCCCGTCTTACAAGAGAACTATAAGCAGATCAGGCTTTCTTATTTTGTATTGATTCTATATTTTGCAGATGTGTGGTGGCCTTTGCTTCAGATCTGATTTTTAGTAGTGTTAGTTTGAACCCACACCGAAGAACAGGTTTTATGTCAGCTCCCCTTAGCCTGGACCACTCCTAAGAATCTGCTGTAATCTTGCGCAATATAAACCATTCTTTTCGTCTGTGGCTCACCTATTCCACAACCCAAAGTTCATTCTCTCTTGCTTGCGTCTATATTTAGAAAATTTATGTACATACGACATTGTTTACTCTTTTGTTAATGTTTACCAGGATGTGGTTCCACAGGCAACTTAGGGCTGACGACTGGTTATTGTTCGTGGTATGTTTAAGATGAAGTCTATTCTCACGTATTAATTATGTTTGATTTTTGTATTCACTTCAGAAAATCGTTAATGGAACCAATGTCACGCAGATTTTAAGTCCTACATCTTGTGTCGCCCATGGCTTTGTTTCGGGCCAAATGTTCAACAGAAAGGGAGAGGTAATTAGTTTACCTTTTCTTTATCTCGTTGTTCCTTCTCTTTTTCCACCAATTCCCTTTGTTGTCGTACTTTGTGTATCTTGATTTGCAGCTCGTTGTATCATTGACACAAGAAGCATTGCTTAGGTTGCCTAGTCACCCAAATCTGTCGACTGTCTCAAAGCTTTGAACTGCAGTGTAATAATTTGATATTTGGCAATGTGTTAAGCTTTTTGATTAAACTTTAAGACCTTTTCCCTTTTAAGACTCTTCGACATAGAAAAATGCTCCCTCAGGTAAATGTTATTAGCAACAGCAACAAGCTTGTAGGTGGTCTTGCAATGGCCGCCCACTCCTAGTTAGAGATGCACAGAAGCCGGATTTCAATCCGATCCGGTGTTTTTCCCAACCTAAAAACCGGATTTTAAAAAAACCGGATCGGATCCTAACCGGTTTGGAGGGCCGGATGGTGTAACCGATTTCGGTTTGCAAAAAAACCAGTTTTTAAAAAAAAAAACCGGATTTTTTCGGATAAAAATCCAGTTTTTTTAAAAAACCGGTTTTTTATCCGGTTTGAAAAAAACCGGCTTTTAATCCGGTTAAAAAACCGGTCGTTCAATTTTCTCCCAAACCGGTTATACTATCCGGTTTTTAAATATCCGATCCGGTTTTAAAAAAATCGGTTTTTCCAAAATCCAGTTTCGGATATTTTTTAGGCAAAATCGGATATTCGGATTTTTTGTGCACCTCTACTCCTAGTATACTTCAACCACTTCATAACCTAAAAACTAAAAAGATCGTATATGAAGTCACAAAATCAACAGAAAATTTCATGAAACTCTATCAAACCCAAATTTAAACGTGAAAAAAAATCAACTTCCTACACAAAAAAATATATATGAACAAGAAATATAAAAGATATTTTTTCTATTCATGTTTCGGTTTAAGAAACATGCAAATTTTAAACCTGTAGAGAATAAAGAGAAACAATGGCAACATTCTGATTTTTCTAACTTTTTTTGCACGAACCAATTTATCTCAGTGGTTAAAGGAATTGTTATTATTTCTAGAGGTCACGGGTTCGATCAGATAACGACAATGGTGGTCGGAGAAGTATGAGAAAAAGTAGAAAAGAAATGAAGATAACGGAAACAGTTTGGGTTTATGCTATATCAAACAGTAGAGTATAAAATGAAATTTTACTTTTAATGACTTAAATTGAGATTGGATGATAAACCCATTACATTGTCTCGTTATATATATTGGTCAGAGTCAAACAAACTAAGCGAACAAACAATGAGCCAACAATCTACTAACAGCTAAGAGCTCAAAAACTCGGTTGATTTCACATTCTCCCTGTATTTTTTACTTTGAATTTCTTTGTAAATCAAACACATCCAATTAGCAACTATAAGATTAACGATCGTATATCATCTAATATTCACCATACTATTTCCAACTTCACTTTCAAAAATTTCACGGACTATCACGTACGTGTAGGCGATTTTGTTCTAACCGATTGATATCAGTTCTTAAATTTAATTTTTTTTTATGTTTGAAGTTATTCTCATAGCATGCATTAAAATTATATAATGATTTAACATACTTAAATTTATACATACAGCCATCTTTGATTCTCAAAATTGGCAATTAAAAACTATTCTAGAAAATTGAAAGGAAGATCCTTAAAATATTAATATCAAACACTTAAATTGGTCATTTAACTATATTTGACACAAACATTAAATTATTTCTGACATTTATATATTTTCAATAAAATTTAAATACATTTTTATTGAATAAACAGAAAATTAGACCAGCCCAATCTTATGCTTTAAAAGAAATGTTCCAAAGTCGTAATGAATTCAGATTAAACCTGCTAACTGCATCTGTACATTGATATGGAATAACTCAAAAATGGTGTAAGAGGAAAAGAGTGCCTCAAAATTTATTTAAATGATACTAAGTACAATACAACAATCAGTCATAACACACCTCAACCCAAAACTGACCAAACATATAAACCCACACTTAAACAACCAACAACACCCAGAAACTAACAAAATTACCCAGCCCCGAAAACACATGAATCACTCAATTCCTACTTTAGCCAACCCATCCGCCTCCCAATTGGTGGATCTCAAAATATGTCTAACAATAACATCATGTTCTATCACAACAGCAGCAATATCTTTCACCAATAACTTGAACAACAGAGTGCAACAACCCGGATTTTTGATCCACTCCAAAGTAGTAGAACAATCCGATTCTAGAATAAGCCTCCCCCTAGAATCAAAATCGGACTCCTCAAATAAGAACATACTCCTTTTAATAGCCAATAATTTAGCAAGGATAGGAGGCCCATGACCAATATTCTCTGAAAATGAACAGAGCAGCACACTGTCACTGTCCCTTAGCAAACCACCAATACCTCCTCTTGACCACACCCTTAACCATAGCATCGTCCACATTGACTTTGAAGAAGTCCGAAGGAGGAGGAACCCAACGCGCCAAGGAAGAACTAACCCTATTAGGACTCACATCAAAATCTACTACTTTTGGATTGCCCACTAAAGAGTCAAAAAAATTACCAAATCCGGAAATCTAGCTACAAACCATGATACAACCCTATATCTTACAAGAAAAAATAACAGCATTGAGTCCAACTTTCCTTTCTAAAAAATAATATATTTCCTACACTTCCAAACCGACCACATTACCCCCCTTGGAATGAAAGTCCAACTCGTCGAGCGCGGAACTATGTCTGCCCAAATAGAGATCAAAGCAGTCGGACTCTCCGGAACAACAAAGGAGACATTCCAAATGTGCAAAAATCTAGACCATAATCCCCAAACCACATCAAAATGGACAAATAAATGAGAAACAGACTCCAAGACTTAACACACAACAGACAAAGTGAATCTGCGATCCCTGCGACTCCACGCTTCGACAACTCTTCTTTAACCGCTAATCTTTGATGGACGATTAGCCAGACGGAAGTTTCCACTCGAGGTTGGGCTACCCCTAACCAAACGTTTTTAACCCAAATTGGATTAGCGGCCGACGTATCAAAAAATTTCCTAATACATGTCTTAGCTGAAAAAAACCCTCTTCATTCCCTGTCCAAACCCATCAATCCATCGCCAAAGGCGATAGTAAGAAATGACTCAGCATCGAATTGAGCACGAGCCATTGGTCCAACTCCCAATCGGCCAAGTTCCTTCTCATTTGTAGGTCCCAAACCCATCCTGACAAAGTATTTTCCCTGAAATCAATGGCTCCACCCCTTTGTTAACCGAGAGAGTGAATAACCTCAGAAATTGATCCTTTAATGGAGTCAAATCCAACCAAATGTCATGCCAAAACAAAACAGACTCTCCATTACCGAATTCTTAATTGCATTTAATTGCATATTATTCCTAATACATTCTCCAAAATCGTCACTTGAATAGAAATTCTTTACTATCCCTTTCCAAATCCACGAAGCACGATAGAAAATCGAATTATCTACCATAATTGCATTTGGATCCAAATTATTAACACAACATACAACCCTTTTCCACCACGAATCTTTTTCACATGCAAATTTTCAGCCTTTGAATCTCATTAACGTTTATTGTCCAAGTGTTGATTTAGAGAAAGAGGTGTTTTTCGGGGATCTCTTGTCTTTTACCAAGCAGCTCGACTATCCTGTGTCTTTGGATGGATATTTTAATGCGGTCTTATCGCAAGAGGAGAAAGCAGTCAGACTTGTGAATTTATTTTCCATGGGTTTATTCAGCGATTTTGTTTGCAAGGCGAATCTGATAGATCTTCCTTTGTCTAGAGGCTGATTCACATGATGCAATAACAGGGAATTTCCGACCTTTGTATGACTTGATTTTTTTTATTGGATCAAAGGTTTCTCTCTTTCATTCCTAAAGTTACCCAAAGCCTGCTCATGAGGCCAATTTCCAATCATAATGCTATTTTATTGGAGAATTGCGAAGTTAATTGGGTCCTAAACCATTTAGGATGTTTAACTAGTTGCGAAGTTAATTGGGTCCTAAACCATTTAGGATGTTTAACTACGTTATGGAGGAAATGATCATAGAAAATGATCATAAAAGCTTTGTTGGGAAGGTGAAGGGCTTAGTCTATATATTTGACGAACAAAAAGTGAAGGTCGCAAGCCTCGGAGTAGCTCATAAATCACAATGGTAATACTCTTACCAAAAATCAAATAAAAGAATCTGCCTAACAACCCTCCTTCCAAACGATATAGTAATAGGGTTGGTTCAATTCTGAATAGTAATACACATTTTACATATATGAACGGCACCTAGCGTTGAAACTCGCACTATTCACTTGGTTTTCTTCTTCCTTGAGGAAGAGACGCCCATGTTCTCGTAATATAGACTTGGGTGGCATTAATGCTGCATCTTCTATGATCATTTTCTAACCAATCAAGATTCAAAGGCTGAACTCAGGACTACGACTTTATCAGAGGACTGAGCCCTTCACCTTCCCAACCAAGCTTAAGCATCTGATCCACCACTTTCAAGCTCAACTACATATAGTAAGGACATAGTAAGATTTGAGTTCAAACATTCAATAAAACAACATAAGATTCATTCAAGTGCCGTTTAGTCCAAGGATTCAGAAGAGCATTTAACTTACGGCTGGGTCTGTGAAAATTATCAACTGCTTGTCTGCGGTTGAGACTAGAAGATTAGTGTTATCCTCGTTCAAAGCAAGAGCTGTGATGTCCTGTCCGTCTCCTAGCTCCAACACATGGAACACCTGCAAATGAAAGGTTTTAGCTAGGGCAATGTTTGAGTAACATGACTCTTGCATACACTTGGACAATCAGTAAAAGTGGAAAGAAAAAAAAAGCATCTTGTTCTTTCTGTAACACATACGAAACAGACCAGGTGGGTACCCGAATTGTAGGCATGCCATATTAAATGAAAATTTTCATCTCAACATTGTATATGGCAAAAAGAGGAGAAAAGTTGCCACATTCATTATGTCCCGGAGGTATAGATGGGGTATAATAGGCATCTGTTTAAAAATCTTATTTTACCTTTAGTGTTTGCAGATTCAGAAGGCAAATTGAAGGAGATGGAATATCTAATCTGTTGCTTTTGTTGGGGTCTT